TTTTTAATTATCGCAAGTTTTTGTTTGTGGGTCTCCTCCCTCCTTGAAATAATGGGGAATTTGCTAAACTTCTGTGTCAGTAACCTTTGAAGAGAAAAAAAGGCTGGAGTTGAAAAACAGCTCGTGGGCTGGCTGGAAGGCTATCAGATAAGGCAGTGGCCCAGGAGCTGGGACAATGTCCTCTTGTTCCTGCTCCCTAGCCCTCACAATGAGCTGCTGTGGGGCCTGGCTGTATCCCCAACAGTGGCTCCCTCGCCCGTTTCCTGGGCAGGGGCTGCCCCACCCTCGCCAGCCCCCCTGGCTCTTCCTCTTGGACCTGGAATGAGTGGGTCATGGTGAGCAGGTCGGCTGCCCGTGGCCTTTGGCTGCTCGGCAGCCTGGGGGTGACGGAGAAGGGATGGGGGCACCGATGGAGCCAGCCTTAGACTCTGCCGGACGGGGCTCGAGTCTCACTTGGCTCACTCGAGTCTCACTCACCCTGTCTTTCTGGGGTGCGGTACCTCAGTCCTGGTGGTTGTCCTGACAGCTAGGTGAGGAGACAGGTGGGCAAGTGGTGTGGCACGGGGCTTGGCCACATGGCCTGGGTGTGAGCCCTTGTCCGCCCGGGGAGACCGGAGCGGCACGGTGATGGTGGCCGCATTCGGGCTGGGCTTTGACAGCCGAGAAACAAGGATTTCGGCAGGCAGAGGGGTGCAGGGAGAGGCGGTAGGGGCTTCTGGAAACTGTACTGGTGGAGGCCCTGAGGGGGAAGGGGTTCAGGGCAGGGCAGGGACCAGCTGGGGAGGAGAGTCTAGGTCACTTGTCTGGGTGTGATGTGAGGGGCGTCTCAGGGAGGGCTCAACACCAGCTTGGAGCACTGTGGCTTGATTCTCTTTGGGCTGTGAGGGCAAGGCAGAGGGGCCTGTCCAGCAGAAGGCTGCCGCTGTGGTCTAGGTGGAGGCGGCCAGTAGGGAGGCCTTCCCGCACTGCCCCCCGGGCCCTGGCCGAGATAGCTCTCTGGAGCAGAGGAGTCCAGGGCAGGTCTCCCTACCCTGTGTCCTTGGCTGTCTCATCGATGGTCTGGGAACCATGGCACCATCCCCTTGCCAGGAAGTATGAGGATTCCATGCTATGGAGGTAAAGGGCCGAGCAACTGGGCTTGGTTGGGGAGGGGATCCAGGGCTTCTAATCCCCTGGGTCTGTTTAGAGTCTAGAGAATCAGTTGTGTCTAGGACTCAGGGATGTCTCGGAGGGATGGGACAGTGGGGAGGGGGGTGCAGCCATGGAGGGTACAGTGACCCCTGGTCTTGGGAGACATGGAAGGAGCCCCCCATACCTGGACAAAGCCAGAGCAGGGGCATTTCTCAGAGGTACTGGGTGAGCAGGCAGCTGCCCTGATGACCAAAGCTGGGTTCATCTTTGTCACTAGGGAGGATTGTCCTCATCCCAGCTGATTCCTCCTCCTTCCCCGAGCTTAGCTGACCTTGGCTGCTGGGATACTGGGACTTTGGTCTGGGAACTCGAGGGCCCTGAGCCTTGGTGCTGAGCCAGACCCCGCCCTATCTACTAGGAGCCCCCCCGCCAGGCAGAAAGAGGGTCACAAGAGACCTTCCCAGCATAGCCTGATGACTTTCAGGCTCTGGGACCACGTACAAGGTTGCTGTCTCTGAGGAGTCCGGAAAGGCTTCACGGTGGAGGGTGCACTGATGCCGAGAGTTGAAGGTCGGCTAGGATGAGGGGACAGCATATGCCTGGAGGCCTGCCTGTGGGAGTCGAGAAGAGCAGCCCAGGGTGAGGTGGAACAGGCAGGTGGGCCCTGGCTAGCGGGGCTGGCATTGAATCCCATGCAGTCCTGACCAGAAACCCCGTCTTCTGGACTCCAAGGCCCGAGAGATGGCTCTCCCTGAAAAATCCTCTTTACAGCACCTTTTAAGTGCATGTTCATTACTATTGATTTCTGTTTGAAATAACACCCTCCTCTTCCGGATAAAGAAGTGGCCCCAGGGGGGTGAGGTGTGGAGAGGGGCTGCCCTCTCGAGCAGGCTCGTTTCTCCCCTGTAAAGTAGGGGTGAACTCAGTATCTGTCTCTCGGCCTTGTGAGGATTCATCAAAGGGATGTGTGTGACATTTCCTGTGGGCACAGCCCAGGGGTGCCAGCTCTGCCCTGGTGAGGAGGGCCAGGTGCATGGAGCCCAGTGTAGACATGTGGTGTGCCCGGCAGGGTTGTTGTGAGAATGAGCTCGCTCCTGGGCTGCAGACGTGGGAAGGCCTTTGGCCCTGCTTGGTGTGGTGGTTCTGGTCTCCAGGGACCACAGATCACAGATCTGGGCACAGGAGGAGGCCATGCAGTGGGAGTGACAGGAAGGGACCTGATGCAGGGGTTGGGGGACACAGAGACCCTGTGTACAATGGCATCAGGCCCCAGACCCCCCACACCACATGAGGCAGCCGTGGGCAGGGCTCCCAGAGCAACCAGGGCCCCATTCTAGCAGGGGCTTTGGACACATCAGGTAACTGCTGCTTCCTGAACCCCTTACCTTTCTGGGAAATGAGTAGATGAATATTCCTGGTAAAAAGGATGCCAAAGTGAGCAGCTGAGCGCCCTGTGCAGAGTGAAAAAGCAAGTACCTGTGGGTGGAGCCCTTCTCTCCTGGGAGTAGAGTGGGAGCGAGGCAGCGGCCAGCACCTGATCACCTCCTTTTCCTGAGCTTCCTGGGTGGGGAGTCCGTGCCTACTTGCTGCCCCCTTAGGGCCTGGGAAGTCTGCGGTGCCCTCCACCCTCCCTCCTTGCCTTATTGAACCTTTTGCCCAGCCTGGGAAGGCAGAGGCTGTAGGTAAGCAAGATGCTGGCCTACCAGTGCTGACACGAGGCAAAGGATTGGTGTGGTAAAGGCCTGCTTTGAGTAATTGATGGGGTGGGCTGGTGTGGGGGTATTTGGGGGTCCTGTGGGCCTGGGTCAAGGCTGGTTTCCTGGAGGAGGTGGTTCTTAGGCCGTTTGGTGATCCTCTTGGGTTGAGGAAGTGACCAAGTGACCACTCTCCCTTCCCGAAACCCGGTCATCTTATAGCCACCACCAGGGGCACACTCACCTCTGCCAGGGTCACAGAAGAACAACTCCCTCTGGACCTCATGTGCCCCTTTCTCTCTCGCCAGGAGCCTTGTGGGGAAGAGAGGAGGAACGGGCGGACTCCAGGTCGAGCGGGAAGGATACGTGTCTGCATGGGAATCAGGGAGCACAGGCCCACTGGCCCTGCCCCCATCCCACAGGCCAGCAGTTAGAGCTTGGCCCTCTAGACGGTGCAGAAATAGCCTGCCAGACCTTGGAGTAGCTGCCCCCACTCCCCCTCCCAGTGAACTCGGGTGCAAGGGGTTCGGCCTCTGTTCTGGGTCCCCCAGCCTGGAGAAGCCCACAGGAGGTTGGGAGGGTCACAGCTGCCCAGCTACGGTCAGGATGCCTTTACTGTGAGTTTCCCCACAGCCCTCTGTTCAGCCAGGAACCTTCCCAGGGAGGCCTGGGCCCGCTGGGGTGTGATTATGGAACCAGGTGGTAGGGAAGAAAGAGGAGGGCTGTGCAGCCCTGGGCTCCAGGATCTGGCCACTTGGGGTCTGGGCTGGGCCTGCTGGGCTCCTGGGCTGTAGACCCAGGGCCGCTTTGGCTCTCCCTGGGCAGAGCCAGTCTACTGAACCATGCCTCCCTTTCCTCTCCCCAGCCACTTTGTTCAGGCGAGAGGGGGCCCTAGCCCCCTAGGACACCAGCTCCTCCCTCTGTACATCCTGGGTCCCTACTCTGCCTTCTCAGCATCCTTACCCGGCAGGGATTTCCAGGCTGGGCCGGAAAACAGCCCGGTCCCAGCCTGCCAGCTGGGTTTTAAGCCCTGGACAGCAAGCCTAGGGTGCTGTGGTTCCCAGCCCTTCCTAGGCAGGGTGGCTTTTCCAGCACCTGGGGCAGGGCATCTCTTGCACTGAGGTATGAAGCCCTATCCTGGGAGGGAGGCCTGGAGTTTGCCTTGCGTGGGGGGCGGCCCGAGGTAGAATCTTGCAGCTGAGGGGACTACAAGCCCACCCCCCGCCTAGGTCAATGCTATGATGGGGGTGAATAGGCCACTGGAGCAGGGCCTGGGGAGCTCTGTTAGCACCCAGAACTGAGTGGGGTGGTGGCCACAGTGCAGGTTTGTGAGGGCTGCCTCCAGAGAGAGAGAGCTGGAGGAGCGGAGGTGGTGTCGCTGGCATGCCAAAAGGCTCGGGCCTCACGTGAGTGAGGGTTTGGCTGGGCTCTAACCTGACCTCAGCCTGCCTCACAGCTTCCCTCTGGTCCGGCCACTCCCCTGAAGCTCTCAGGAGTCCTACCTGAATGCGTCAGTTCAGCTTGAGGGACCTGAGCCTTGCCCTGTGCCAGCTTCATTCTAGGCACGGGGGGGGGGGCGGGGCTGACTGGGCCTCTTGGGTCAGGCTGTGGGGTCCCTGTGGCCTGGGGTCCCAGTTCTGGCTCTGATTCCTCTGCAGTGCCTAGCACAGAACTCCCATCTTAGAGAGGTCTGTTGCCATGGGCACCTCAAGTCTGGGGTGTGGACGGTGGCCTCTTGCAGCCTGCCCTGAGTGGGACTGGTGGGGGGAGTGGGATGATGTGTGAGAAAGAGCTTTGTTGACAGTGACTTTCTAGACAAATGGGTGACTACTTTGGTCTTGGAGGGAGATCAGGGCCGAGGAGAGGAGGTAGAGAAGGTTGCGTGGGTCCCGTGGGTCTCCAAGGCCAGGACCCTACCCCAGCACTCGGTGCTGACATTCGGCTCCTGAGTGGTGGCCTGATCCTCTGGCACCTGCTCCCTTAGGCTGAGCCACTCTCCCGGAGTCCCGCCGTGGGCAAGAGGGCCTGGCGGGTGTCTGTGACTCCAGCGCTGTGGTGCCCCCTTCCCGGGAGGAGTGACTGCCTCCAGCTGGGAGGTCTGGGCAGGCCCCCCGGGGAAGGGGGAAGGGAGGGGAGCAGCAGGCTGGGCCTGACACAAGAACCGCCCACCCCCAGGTCCCATCTGATGCCCAGGCTGAAGGAGTCTCGTTCCCACGAGTCCCTGCTCAGCCCCAGCAGTGCGGTAGAGGCGCTGGACCTCAGCATGGAGGAGGAGGTGGTCATCAAGCCGGTGCACAGCAGCATCCTGGGCCAGGACTACTGCTTCGAGGTGGGTCCCACTGCAGGAGCAAGGTGGGGCGCTGGTGTCGCTCTGTGGCCTCGGTGAAGGCCAGGCTCTTTGGGGCCAGGCTGGAATCTGCCCAGCGCTTTTGGCTCCTAAGAGACCGGGTGGAGCTGGGAAATGGGGAGGCTCTGTTCCTGCTCCGTGGGCTCTTTGTATGCGGCCCGGCACTGTCTCCCATGTGCAAGGGCATGAGACCCCAGTGGGTGAAGGGAGTGAAGGCCTGTATAGAATTGCTTAAGCCCCCAGAGCCTGCTCACTCCTCCTTAGAAACCCCTCAAATGCAATGTGGGGTAGGAGAGAGTACCCCTTTTTTGGGCCTGTCTCCCCTTCTGCATAATGAGAACCAGAACCTTTCCTGCCCTAGCTTTCTGTGACCCAAGTTTGAGAGCAGGGGGACAGCCACCCAACCTGTGCAGGGCTCCCTCACCGTAGATGGGGAATCTGAGGCCCAGAGTGGGCAGGACGATGTCAGCAGCCACACAAAAGCCTGAGGCCAAACCAAGACCGTGGTAGCTAATGTTGCAGGTGTTCCTAGGAGTTCCTAATTGCTTCTCCAATTATTCATATTCTCTTCCCACCTCTGTTTCTGGGAAGCTTCCCACCCCCAACTGTCTTGCATAATTAGGGGAGCTCTCTGATAGAGGAATGAATTCGCCTGGTGATGGAAATCAGCTACTCAGGGACACCCTCCGGGTCCCCCCTGGCCCCGGGGAAGAGGCGGAGTGGTGCCTGGCGCACCTGCCCCACGCTCTGGGCCTCTGGGGCCGTTTCTGGCTCAAGACGCCTGGACCGGCCGGGCTCTGACTTCTTTGCCTGGGACAGGCTGAAGGTGGTGCCTGCCCGCTTGTCCACAGCAGGGGGTGCCTGAACAGCCGGGTGAGGAGTCTGGTTTCCCCCACAAAGCCAGGACAGCAGGGGACAGCAGGAACAGAGTGGGAGCAGTTTGGGTAGGGCCCCCCCGACCTGGATGGGACTGAAGGAGGAGCAGGAGTCTGGGGAAGAGGGTAAGGGTTTCAGACAGGAGGACCCCAGGGCCCAGCACATCTAGACAGTGCAATTTTTATTTCTCCAGTGTTGTCCCCCAAATGTTAAGTTTCTGTGACCAAGTTTAGCCACTTGGCTAAAGAGAACTGTCAGAGGTAGCCACTAAGGACTGAGGTGATCCTTTGTATCTGTCTTCTCGGTGCCTGTGGCTTTACCTGTAGGGGGGAGATCCGAGTTGAGCATTGCCTTCTGACCCGGGCAGGGGGCCCACACCTTCTCTCCCCATCTCTGGGAGAGTGAGGTTGGAGCCAGAAAGATGCTCTCCTGTGGATGGGGACGCTGAGGCAGGGGTGGGGAGTGGGGACCAGGCACCGACTGGTGCAGGGCTCCGCTGTCCTGCTGTTGACTTGCTTTGGGACCTTGGGTCACCTGCAAACGTGGTCATTGGGTGAGCTGCCCTGTGGCTGTGGCTCAGACCTGGTGGCCATAGTCCACCCGCCCAGGGCCCAGAGGTCTTCCGTCGTACCAGCCTTACTGTGTTCCCCTCCCCTGTGACACGGTCCTGCCTGTCTCTCACAGGTGACCACGTCATCAGGAAGCAAGTGCTTCTCCTGCCGATCGGCAGCCGAGCGGGATAAGTGGATGGAGAACCTTCGGCGAGCGGTACACCCCAACAAGGTAAGCCTGTGTCCCCAGTGCCCAAGTAGGGTGGACTGAGGCTGGACCCAGAGTGGACCTAGACGCTGACAGGAGGGGAGAGGCAGGGATCTCCGATGTGGGCTGTGATGGGGGGTGGAGGCAGCACCCAGGTGAGCAGTAGGTGCCGGGCTCTGAGGGAGGAGCTCCAGTTGGCCAGACTGACTCGAGCCACATGCTCAAGAGGCTGGGCCAGAGAACTGAGCATTGGACTATTGGGGACTTGAGTGCTGGCATTCTGCTGCCTGGATGTCCCCCTTTCCCCAGGCTGATTCCCTACGCATCCAGTTCCAGCTTAGACATCTGTCCCCTTCAGGGGAGCACCACTGACCTAGGCAGGTGTGCTCCCAAGCCGCCCCCGTCAGGTCCCTGGATCCCCTCCTATAATCATCTGCTTCTGTGGCTGCCTTTGGGGCTGGGCTGAGCCCTGGTCACCATGACCTCACTACGGAAGGGGCCTTAGCAGTGGTCACCTCCTAAGTGACGTTACAGACCAGCAAACTCCAGAAGAGCTGGTAAATGGCACAGTCACCTGCTATGTGCCAGGCATTGTGCGAACCTCTTACTCGATCTGTTACTCTGTTTCATTCCTGTTTCACAGGAGAGGGAACCAAGGCTTAGGTTAAGTCATGTGCCTAAGGTCAGTGGGCTCGTACAAGACAGAGCAGGGATCCAGCCCCTTGTCCGCCAGGCTCCAAGCGGTCCCTGCCTCACCCCTGTCCTGTGTCGGGCTTGGGCCCCTCCTGTGTCTGAAAGCTCTCCCTGCCCCCCTGGTGACCGAGGCCCCTTTGTGCACGTGCAGGACAACAGCCGGCGTGTGGAGCACATCCTAAAGCTGTGGGTGATCGAGGCCAAGGACCTGCCGGCCAAGAAGAAGTATCTGTGTGAGCTGTGCCTGGACGACGTGCTCTACGCCCGCACCACGGGCAAGCTCAAGACGGACAATGTCTTCTGGGGCGAGCACTTTGAGTTCCACAACCTGCCCCCTCTGCGCACCGTCACCGTCCACCTGTACCGGGAGACTGACAAGAAGAAGAAGAAGGAGCGCAACAGTTACCTGGGCCTGGTGAGCCTCCCTGCCGCCTCGGTGGCTGGGCGGCAGTTCGTGGAGAAGTGGTACCCGGTGGTGACGCCCAACCCCAAGGGCGGCAAGGGCCCCGGGCCCATGATCCGCATCAAGGCTCGCTACCAGACCGTCACCATCCTGCCCATGGAGATGTACAAGGAATTTGCCGAGCACATCACCAACCACTACCTGGGGCTCTGTGCAGCCCTCGAGCCCATCCTCAGCGCCAAGACCAAGGAGGAGATGGCATCAGCCCTGGTGCACATCCTGCAGAGCACGGGCAAGGTGAAGGTGCGTGTGTGGGCGCAGATGGGTCCCCCACGCTCTGTGGCCCCATGCAGAGGCCTGGGATGCGCACTAGGTTATCTGCTGCCCCCCGTGTCCGAGTCCTTGATTTCAGCTCTAACAGAAGCACCCGTCGCAGCCAGGTGGGCTCCCTAAACCCAAGAGTTGTGTCATAGAGTTGCCGCGGGGGGTTCTTGTTCCTCCTCGTGGTTGGAGCCGGTCGCTGACACACATATGGAGCCGACGGGTGGGGTTGTGGCTTACAGTGAGGAAGTGGGTTTTAGGAACCTTCCCGCTGCACCCAAGGGCTGGCGTCTAAGGCTTGAGGGGATCCAGCCTCTCCCAGACACACGTCCAGTGAGACAGAGTTCAGTTGACATCCCCACAAGTGACCACCTGTCGCAGCCCTCACACATCAGACACACAGACTCACACACAGAGCGCGGTGTATTGCCTCCACACAGCAACCAGCCGGCTGTGGTGACAGCCATCCCCGGTCCCATGGCCTCCAGAACAGGGATTGTCCTGTAGCCATCTGGGCAAGCCCTCCTGGAGGGCTTCTGCCCACCTCTTTTTATCTTCCAGGCCATGCTTCAGTCCCTCCCACCTAGTGCTGGAGACAGGCTCCTTCAGGAAGGCTCCCCCCGTGTCCCCTCCTGGTGGGAGTTGCCTGAAGGGGATGCAGTGGAGAAGGACTGGACATTGCAGAAGGCCTTGCATGCTGGCCTGTGTCCTAGGAGAATAAAAGATGAATCTCTAACCTACATTTAAGACAAGAAAGAAGGAACTGGGCCTCTGCTCTCTGGACTTGGTGTGGTTTAAGGACCAAGTAGCCTGTGATGGAGACGAGGGACCGCCGTGTGTCAGGGTCCTGAGCCCTCACAGTCTCAGGACAGGGGAGACACAGGCTGGGGACCCAGGCACATGACTCCATTAGGGCCCCTTATCCTCTTATCTGTTCCTGGAAGTCTGTGGCCCTCTTCAGGCCTCCAGAGCCCCCCTGCCTGTTGGACTCATGCTGTCCTTCAAGGAAAGGGACTTCCTGACTCTGCTTTCCATAAGGGGAGAGAGGCCTCATTGTCTTCTACCCACCCCCAGCTGCAGACCTGACTAGGTTGGACCGGCTCTGGCTATACTGTCCTTAATTTCCTGGTCAGTGTTGGGGGTTGCTGGGAAACTGAGTGAACTGAGGGAGTCCCTGGCCCCCAGAGAGGGAGCGAGGGAGACCTCTTCTGCTGCTGTGTCTATTCCTTCAGTACTTGTCCCCCAAGGGCTGGGCTAGCCTGGAAAGCCGACTCCCATCTGCACTGACCTTTGTTCTCGGGGCTCACGGTGCTTTGTGGAGGGAGTTGGAAGCCAGGCTCCAGCCGCCTCAGTGGGCCTTGGGGGATCAATAGGCAGAAGGATAGAAAGTAACTCATGTGCTAGGGCCATGTGCTTATGAGCCCCTTCTATCTGAACACTTGGGAACCAAAGGGGCATTCTTGGTGAGAAGCAGAGCGTCTGACAAGGGCCCCGAAGTCCCAAGGTGAGGTTTGTGTGAGCGGGCATCTCAGCACCTTCCTGCCCGCTCCCCGGACTCTGCTTTCCTGGGCTGTGGCTTTTCAGAGTCCCTGTCCTTGGGTTCCTGGGCCTTCTCCCCGTCATCCCTACTCCTTTCAATGTGACAGGAGGCAGATCTGGCCCTGAGAGCTGGGTGGGCTCAGGCAGGTCACTTTCCTGTTCCATGCCTCGTCGGGTTTTAGCTCTAAAGAGAGCTCCTACTCACCTCAGCCTGGGCCTGGCACCCACCCCAGGTGTTTAGAAGCCCTGTGGAGCCACCAGGCTCCATGCAGTACTTGCCTCTGCTCTGTGTGTTCAGAGAAAGGGGCTCTCTGGGTTGCCTGTAGGGCAGGAAGGGGTCCTCAGGCTGTGTGGTTCCCAGAGAGGCAGTGGCCACTCCCTCCCCCAGCCCCCACCCTTTCTCCATTGGCCAGTAGGTCTCCTGGGCCTAGAACTCAATTCTGTAGTCTAAGGTCCACTTTCAATTTTTGAGGGCCCAAAGTTGTACATAATGGAGTGAGAAATTTCCAGAGCCCCAGAAACCCTGGCCCACACCGGCCTCCTTGCCGCCTCGTCACCCCCCCCCTTACCCCGGGTCTCTGATTCCCTGCCTGTCTTCTTTCCCTCCCCCAGGTCACAGGGTTGGCTGAGGGCATGAGGAGGCAGGGGCTCCTGAGAGAGGCAGGTTCACACTGCCCACATCTCTGCAGTCGGGAGGACATGCGTGGGCTCAGGCTCCTCCCAGGGTCTTCCCGTGATACTGTGTACAGGACCCACAGGCTCACCAGTTTCACAGCTGCCTTCCAGAAAGTCTGGGACCCACAGCAGTGAGGGGCCGCCTTCCCACCTAAGCTGAGGGCCGTGTTCTCGCCATCTGGGCCCTGGCGCACTGCCTTAGGGCATCTGGACAACTCCTCACTGTGGGGCTGCATAGAACAGGTCTTCTGGGGTGGGAGACCCCCTCAGAGTAACGGGTGGGTAGATAGTGGCAGCTGCTTGTATGACAGAGGGAGGGTGGCCTGTCTGTCCTCTTCGGCGCTGTTGGTGATGGGAAGGGAGACCTGGCCAGGCCTGGTCAGGGCTGAACAGGGTTTGAGTCCAGCAGACCTGACCATGGTGCAGTTGGCTCATGGCTCTGCGTGCTCTTGCCCAGGCCTGCCTTCCCTATTCCTAGACCCAGCTCTCACCAACTGTAGGCATCTCCCCTGCACAGGCTGCCTTGTGCGCACCCCCAGCAGCCCCCCCAGGGTGGGCACCAGCAGCGTGGCAGTGGAGCAGCCTTGAGAAGGAGGCACTTCTGGCTGGGGAGCGGGTCTGGGATCTTAGGGTCCTACTTGCAGGCCTGCTCATGTCCATTCTCCTCACCTCCTGCCTCCCCAGGACTTCCTGACGGACCTGATGATGTCAGAGGTGGACCGCTGTGGGGACAATGAGCACCTTATCTTCCGGGAGAACACGCTGGCCACCAAGGCCATCGAGGAGTACCTCAAGCTGGTGGGCCAGAAGTACCTGCAAGATGCGCTAGGTAGGGGTGGGGCGTGGGGCCGGCAGGTGGGCAGGGCATGGGCTGTGCCTGCCAGGCCCTCACTCCCTCTCCCTGCCCTCCTGGCCCCAGGTGAGTTCATCAAAGCTCTGTACGAGTCGGATGAGAACTGCGAAGTGGACCCGAGCAAGTGCTCGGCCGCCGACCTCCCCGAGCACCAGGGCAACCTCAAGATGTGCTGCGAGCTAGCCTTCTGCAAGATCATCAACTCCTACTGGTCAGTGCCGCCCGGGCCCCCACCCCTGTGTCTTTCCCTTCCTGCATGCAGGACGCTGGGCGCCGTGCTAGTGTGCACGTGCGTGTGCTCGGCAAGGCCCTTAGGCTCCGTCTTCCCTGACTTCTAAATGACGGAGCAGAGGTTTCACAGGGAGGGCACAATGACACACCCTGCCTGGCCCAGTGGAGTCTTGATGGGCTGCCGGGCCCCGTCCTGGTCCTTTGTGGGCTCGCGCATGTAAGGGAGCGTCCCAGAACATATGCAGGACATGGCAGTGCATTTCCACGCTTCTTAGCGGGCACCCTCCGTGTGCCGGGCACTGTCGTTGATGCTGGAGCTGCAGCACTAGGAGCGAGGCCAACGGCCCTGCTCAGGTACCCTCGTGGGGCAGGTGGACAGCTTCAGGTGAGACCCCTCAGCTGTCCACAGGGGTGCCACTCTCCACCTACCATACCTCATTCTTTTCTTTGGCAGGGTCTCCCTCACCCCACACCTCACCTCCACACGCTCCCTCCCTTCCTGTTTCAAGGCCTTGTGCCTGCTTCCCTCTGTCACCGCCTGTCATGGTATCAGACGCGGTTGTCTCATCCCTCCCGGCACCCGCTGTCACAGCCCTGATCCCATCAGAGTGGGACTGTGCCTGTGTCCAGATCCATTTCCTGCACGTACCTGGAGCACCCTGGGGGCAGACAGATTCCCCCGGCTCAGGGCTGGACCCAGGAAGGCCCGGGAATGGTTTGCTACTCCCAAAAAACAAGCAGAGACAGGCCTGCTTGGTTAGCAGCAGCCTTGGGAAGGGGACAGAGGGAATAGCCAGAGCGCATAGAGTGGATGTCCTTCTACCAGGTCCCCCTGCCCCTGGGCTGCACAAGGTGCTCACCTAGGTCCATCCTGGCCCCTCGGGCTGGGCCAGAAATGACCCCTGGCCTGGGGTAGAGGCACAGCCTTGAACTCTTTGGGAACATACTTCCCATCCTTGGGCTGGGCTGTGCTTTTACCCGGTACCCGCCCAGTTCCCAGGGCAGACTGGGCGTGGGACACAGGGAAACATGTCCATAGACAGCCATTTTCCATTTCCTCTTTCTGATATTTGTCCGAGGCCCAGAGGCATCTTTCTGTCCTGGACAAGGCCATTGATAGATGTCATCGCTCAGCACCTGCCCCCTGCCCAGTCCTGTGCCAGGCAGTTTGAGGGTCAGGGCTTAAGGTTGTGTCCTCCTCTGCTCCTCTGTCGCTGTGTCTGTAGCATGTTCTTGTTGTTTCACTGCAGAGAGCCTGCTGAGCAGGTGCTGGGCTTGTTGGGCAAAAGCCTTAGGAGTTGATCGAGGCTTCTGATGGACTTGAGATGGTCCTGTGAACGTGGCAGGGCCGGCCTTGTTCTCAGTGTAAGGATGAGGGGACTGAATGAAGTTCAGGGAGGGCCAGGCACTTGCTCAGAGCACCCTGAGTCCGTGGCAGAGCCAGGCATAGAGTCCAAAGAGTGCTGGGGCCTGGCCTGCCCAGGGTGGGAGGCATGTCTGTCAGGGTGAAAAGATAGGAAAACCACATAAAGATTGGCCAGTGGGGCCTGACTGCAGCAGGCTGCGGGTGCCCGGCAGAGAGAGCCCCCAGTGGGGTGCTGGCAACCCTGCCCACCTTCACTGGGCCCCCCTGGGGAGGTCACTTCCTCCATTTCCCTTCCCACCTAGAAAGCGAGAGCTGTGTTCTCATCCTGTGATTAGCCTGTTGCCATCTTGATCATTTGGAACTCTTCTGAAAATGTCTGATTCCTATAATATTCGAGCAAAGGGAGTGAGTCTCAGCAGCCAGTGATGGCATCCAAGGGGCAGTGGTCTGTTCCAGTCGTGTTTTCCTCACTCTCCCCGAGATCTCGTGCCTGGTGTCTGGGACAGAGGGTGGAGCCCCGGGGCAGGCCCAGGAGCTGGCCATTGCCGTCGAATCTCGTTGGGACCGAGACCTGGCTCCTGTGTGCCTGCGCCCATCCCCTCTCGGCCCATTTGTAGAGAGCCCACAGCTTTGCCTGGGGTTCCGTGTCCCTGCTCCCTGGGCCAGGCTCTCCCTTTGCCCTCACTGCCGTGCTGCAGTCCTGTGCTCAGTAGCTCACAGGCCATCACCGTGGAGGCGTTGGAATCCAGGGCTCCATCAGACCCAGCACCAGGTCCCTGCTCTGCACCCTCCTGCCCTAGCCCCCTGCCCGATGACTGGCCCACCTTCCTCTGTCCCTCCAGTGTCTTCCCACGGGAGCTGAAAGAGGTATTTGCCTCATGGCGACAGGAGTGCAGCAGCCGTGGCCGGCCTGACATCAGCGAGCGACTCATCAGCGCCTCCCTGTTTCTGCGCTTCCTCTGCCCTGCCATCATGTCGCCCTCACTCTTCAACCTGCTGCAGGAGTACCCCGATGACCGCACTGCCCGCACCCTCACCCTCATCGCCAAGGTTACCCAGAACCTGGCCAACTTCGCCAAGTGAGTGCCGTGAGCCCGGACAGCCAGGGTCCAGGCGTGGGCATCCGCTGGAGCCCTGGGGACAGGCCGTGGGTGTGTCTGCCCTGGGGTGGGGCCGCACGGCAGGCCCTGCTTCTGTCCCTGTCCTCCTCAGCTCTTCCCCTCCCCTTCTTTCAAAATCAGATCTCCACCTCCCATCCTCCCCCTACAAAAAGTACATGGCATTTGGGTATGTTTCCTTAATTTTCAAAGGTGAGAAAAGGAGATATTTTTTCCTTCTGCTTTTTGAACTAACATTTTTATCATAAGGATTATCCCGTGTACTTAACATTCATAAGCCTCATTTTGCGATGAATGACTAACATGCCTTCAAGGGAGAATGGCCCATATTTCCTTAACCCGTCCTGCGTGGTTGGGCTCTCAGGTTGTTTCAGACTGTCCTTGTTTGATGCTGTGAAGAATGTCTTTGCTTATAAGGCGCTTCAGTGTTCTCGACTGTACCCTAGAGCGAGTGGGTGGAAACGGAAGGGCTCATTCACAGTGTGGACAGAGCCGTGCTGCAAGCCTTCTCTGTGCTGGGCTCTGAGTCACATCTGGTTCCAGCCTCCTGGACCCACATTTGATCAGGGAGAGAGGGCAGGAAGCAGCGGAGCAGTGATAGAGACGCAGGCCTCCTAGGAGGGCCCCAGCCCTGTCCTCCTAGGAGATGCGCCCCCTGCTGTGTGTCAGGACCGGGGAGGTGGGGAGGCAGCCACCTGCTCACGGAGAGGCAGCAGGAACAGAGGCGGGGCAGGCCCCGGGAGGCCCGTGTGCTGGCTTGATGAGGCAGTGTGGCATTCCCGAGTCATTACATGGCAGGCCTGGAGAAGGGGGGTGCGAGACCCAAGAGGACAGTGGGATCTTGAAGTTCAGGTGGGGCAGTGGGTCCCCCACAGGGAGGATGGCCCTCGTCCGTTCTGGGTCCTGAACTGGTCAGCCTGACAGCATGGGGAATGGGGTCTGGAGAGAGCACAGCAGGCAGCAGAGAGGGCAGAGGGCATAGCTGTGGTTCCCTCCCACAGAAGAAACCGCCGTGGAAGTATTGGGGGGTGGGGAGCGGCTAAGGTCGGGGGTGATTGGAAGGTAAAGTCAGCAGGCCTAGCCGGGTGGGGAGGAAGAGGGAGAAGCTGGCCACCCCCAGGCTTCTGGCTGAGCTCTCTGGGGGACAGCGGTGTCCCTACTTAGGATAGGAAGCCCAGGAGCGCGGCATGGGTCTGAGGTGACAGCGCTGAGTCGGCCAGGCTGAGGACAGGGGCGGTACCCGTGGGTGTACACGCCTGAAAGCTCAGCAGAGAGACCCGCTAAGTGTGCATTAAAAGTCACCTGCACACCAAGCCATTGAAACTTGGAAGAAAGAGGGAAGGAGACTGACCAGCAGTGAATGGGGAGTGAGGGCCACAGAACATTCTGGTCCTGTGAGGAGAGGTCTGGGAAAGGGTCTCTGGCCTTAGCCGGGAACGAGGGCCCTGAGCCAGAGCAGATGTGTTGGCTTGGTGGAGTGAGTGGTAGGAGAGGCAGCCACGGTGGGGGCGGGGGGACTCAAAGGGGGTCTCCTGGACAGGCCCTGGGACACTTACCCTCTCTGCTTTCTGTCCAGGTTTGGCAGCAAGGAGGAGTACATGTCATTCATGAACCAGTTCCTGGAGCACGAGTGGACCAACATGCAGCGCTTCCTGCTGGAGATCTCCAACCCCGAGACCGTCTCCAACACGGCCGGCTTCGAGGGCTACATCGACCTGGGCCGCGAGCTCTCCAGCCTGCACTCGCTGCTCTGGGAGGCCGTCAGCCAGCTGGAGCAGGTGCCTGGCCCCACGGGCTCCAGGGGGGACAGAGCCGGGCCAGAGGTGGCTGCAGAGCTCGGGGCTGCCCCTCCTTCTGGACTAACTGTGGGGGTCAAAGTGTTCGCCTGCCCGGGTGCCAGAGCCCAAGGTTCCAGCCCAGGCCCTGTGAGCATTGCCCTCAGGGTCCCTGAGCCCCTTTCCCTTGATGTGCAGTGTCCCATTCAGTCACCAGCACTAGCCAGGGGAGCCCACTTTGCCCACGGGGGCTTTAGCTGTCCACACTCAGCATTGAGTGCGTGAAGGTGTGCCCCCTACCTGTGAGAGAGGTGATCATCTTTAGCTGCTTCTCTGAAGATATCCTCGTTCTAGGTTTTAAGGCCACTGATGTGAAAAGATAGACTCTGAAGATGCTGCACCTCCACACGTCAGGCAGGAAGCTGCAGACCTTTCCAGAATTACCCTTGACCATGAGTTGAAAATCTCATTCCCTAGACATGTCTGATCCTGCTGCGGCTGCCTGGCCTGCGCCCTCGGTGGCCCGGGGTTCCACTGTCGCCCCAGCAGCCCCAGCCCACACCGCAAACAGTCCGGTCAGGATCCACTTCCACAATATCTGTTGCTTCCCCGGGCTTAAAGAGACCACTTTACAAACATGGTTACTGCCTGAACAGGGATGGAAGGCCTCCTTGCTCCCGTCCCATTCCCTAGAGGTGACCACTCAGGGCACTCCAATGTGTAGCTTTCTAGATATGTCTGCACGTGTGTTAAGTACCCATGCAGGCACAGAGTTCTTTTCCGTTTTTGTTTGTGTTGAAGTGAGCACTGCAGAGTGCATTTCTCACCTGGCTCTGTTGTCCTCTTTCCGTGTCACTAGGGGCTGCGCCGCCGCTGTGGCCTCTCGGATGGCCGCAGGCTGTCCCGCAAAGGAGTACACATTTCACTAGCCCCTGTTGCGGACACACGGGTTAATCCCCGCATCTTGTTGCTGCGGTCGTGTCTGTTCGCTGATACCCACTCCCCTTTGGCTCAAGAGACACAGGGCAGGAAACGGCAGTGGGGCCAAGGCCCTCTCTTTCTCCACCGCTGCCAACACCAGTCACTCTAACTGCCACCGCTTACGGCGTCCCGTGCCTGCCCCCGACACCCACATCTGCACAAGCAGGCAGGAAGCACAGGAGATGGCAGCTGCCATCACAGCTGATGGCAGTGCAGCAAGAATTTGAAATCGAGGTGTTGGCCTCTCAAGTCTATGCTGTTGACTGCATGAGTTCTCACACTTTTTTTGCACAAAACCACGGAAGCCAGTGCATAAGCAGAGGGCCATCCCAGAAGTCTCTCGGATAGGGAGGTGTTGCTGTGGGAAGTTCTGGGGTTTCTCGTGGGCTCCCCTCTCTGGGGCATGGAGATGGGATGTTCTCAGGTGGAAGGCTTGGACTAGGTCACCATTTCTCCCTTTAGGCCTCTCACTCCCCTCCCCCACCGCCAGAAGTATCTGGGGGGCTTGGGAAAAATGTTCATTTGCAGATTCCTAGGCTTTCCAGCTCCTTCCCAGCCCTGTTGGGTCTGACAGGTGGGGAGGGTAGGGCAGGGCCTGCCTTTCCAAGTGGCTCCTCAGCAGTGTTGAACCCCAGCAGGTGCAGTGCACTTGGCCTCCCCAAGTGGCGCCCACAGGTCACACCTGCCACTTGCTGTGTATTTGCAGAACATTGTATCCAAACTGGGACCCCTGCCTCGAATCCTGAGGGATGTCCACACAGCACTGAGTACCCCAGGCAGTGGGCAGCTCACGGGGACCAACGACTTGGCCTCCACTCCTGGCTCTGGCAGTAGCAGCATCTCGGCCGGGCTGCAGAAGATGGTGATCGAGAATGATCTCTCTGGGTAAGAGAGGCCAGGTGTACCGGCTGTTGTGGGGTGCGCATGTAGACAAGGTACAACCTGCCTGCAGTTTCCACTGGGGAGGAGGATGTCTACACAAACGTTTATAAAATAAGCTACTTGAGACTTGAAATGTGTTGTGCAGGCTGTAGGCAGTGAGCCTCCATTTGGGAAAAATCAGGGAAGGCTTCTTGGAGGAGGTAATGTGTTTTGGGCTTTTTAGGAAAAGCAACGTTTCCATGGGTGGAAAAGGCATTCTATGTAGAGGAACTAGCACAAACAAAGGCTTGGAGAAAGACAATACATTCTGTTGAAGAACGATCACTAGTCCCGAATGCCTTTAGATTACCCAGGTGTGTGTTAAAAATACCTCTTCTGGTATTTCCTGGGTCTGAATCAGAATCTCCAGAAGTGGCATTCAAGTGTATGTGTTTTCAGCAGGAGTCTGGGTCACTCTGCAAGGCTTTGAGGCTGGGCGCTCCAGAAACTAGGAGAGGTGTTGAGGCCCCGCCCTCAGACTGAGGACAGGGAGGCAGAATGTTCTTGGATGTTAACGTCAAAATGAGGACATTCCTTTGAAAGACTTGGCATGTGTAGTGAACCGTTTGTGCCCCACTCACACTGCCCTCCCAGGGGGCATCTTGGACCGGTTAGTAAGGCTTATGCAGCAGAGTTGGGACTTGGGTCTTGCTCTGAGGTGGCAACGGCAGCGGGCTCGTAAGCAAGCGAGGGCGCGGACATCCAGAATAGGGTGTGTGGTACACAGGACGGGGGTGCTTCCCAGCTCCCGCTGAGCCCCGGGGGTCCGTTCACACAACCTGCCAGATGAAGGAGAGCGGGTCAGGTGGAAGGGGACGCACCTTGGTTAAGAGGTAGCCAGGCGCGTGGGTTCCGAGGAGACCTGACCGCGTGTGTAGCAGGACAGCCAAAGCCTGAGGCCGGTCTGGGTTTCTCCGGCTCCATTGCCTGCCGGTGTCCAGCCGAGTGGCTGCAGCCTGCCCCGCCCGAGTTCCATCAGTTGGGACTTGTCACTTCCTCTCCATCCCAGGCTCCCCGTTGTTGAAACCGCTGCCCGCTCAGAGCCTGTTTACCTCCCCCAGCCTTCCCTCCACAGCCGACCTGACCCTCCACATTGTGCCTTCTAAGGAGTGGGCTTCCGGGGAGGGGCCAGGGAAGAGGCTGGAAGACTGGGGGTGGGTACGGCTCCGCCTCTGCAGGTGCAGACCCTCCCTGCCTGAGTCACACCTTTGGATCCTCCTCTGAGTCCTTGTTTTTGCCAGGAACACCAGCCCCCGCCTGCCAGTCAGACAAAGGTGGCAGCAGGAGGCGGGGTGGGGTGGGGGG